CTATATAGATCAAAAATAATGCAAGCAGTCCTTCTTGTTCAATATTCTAAAAGTACCTCTTGCTACTTGGATACAATATTCCATCAAGTGGAATATTCATCATTCTCCCAATTCCATTCATCATAAGTTTAGGCTAGCAATATTAATGAATATGAGTAGTCATTTATTCAATAATTATGTACCAATTTCTAAAATCGCTATCTAAGTTTCTCTTTACAATATTCTATAGGATACTATAAGAAATAAAGTTTTGTGAAAGATTGCAAGAAAAGAATTGCAGAGTAAAGAATAGGTCTTATACTTAATACTATAAAAGCTATTTGTGCAATACCTGAATACTGGGAATAGTTACAGATGCCCAACATCCATTGAAATCCATTGAAATTAGGGGACTGGAGGCTAAAACATATAAGGAATTGTTGCTGGAATTGGGTATGTCTAGTTTAATGAAGAGAAGGACGAGAAGGGACATGATAGCAGTGTTCCAATATCTCAGGGGCTGCCATAAAGAAGAGGGAGTGAAACTATTTTTCAAGGCCCTGAAGGCAGGACAAGAAGCAACGGGTGGAAACTAACCAAAGAGAGAAGCAACCTAGAACTAAGGAGAAACTTCCTGACAGTTAGAACAACCTGCTTCCAGAACTGGTGAATGTGCCAACACTGGAGGTTTTTAAGAAGAGACTGGATAGCCATTTGTCCAAAACGGTATAGGGTTTCCTGCCTGAGCAGGGGGTTGGACTAGATGACCTCCAAGGTACTTCCAACTTTATTATTATTATTATTATTATTATTATTATTATTATTATTATTATTATTATTATTATTATTATTATTATTATTATTATTAATTATTTCCATGGTGGTGGGCTTTGGAAACTCAGAAAAACCTGGGGGAATTTTGCATTTTCTCCTAACTTGTAGTCAGAACAAAATTAGAGTATTTCTCTACCATGTACATGAACAAAGATGATCAGGGGACTAGAGGCTAATGTCAGAAGTCCTTATCACACCCCTGGTGCCAACAAGACACAAGTCGGTAAGTTCACAGGTGGCTGGTTTTAATCACGGAACGTTCTGGCATGTGTTTAGTCACAGAAACGCTGTAAAGCATTGTGTGGTGGTATATAAGTCTAAGTGCTACTGCTAATGCTATGATGTCTTTGTACCCCAAAATCTGACTCAAGTGCATGAGTCCCAGGAAATGTTGTTATATTTTGCTTCCAAAGAAAGTACTGATGAAATTAACAGGCTCCAGCATAAGAATGGGATGTGATAGGATAGGAGCTGGAAGAGACCTTGGAGGTCTTCTAGTCAAGCCCCGTTCAAGGGGAAGACCATATATCATTTCAGACAAGTGGCTGTCCAGTCTCTTCCTTAAAATCTCAGTGATGAAGCACCCACGATTTCTGAAGGGAAGCTGTTTCACTGGTTAATTGTCGTCACTGTCAGGAAGTTTCTCCTTAATTCCAGGTTGCTTCTCTCTTTGATCAGTTTCCAACCATTGTTTTTCGTCCTGCCCTCTGGTGCTTTGGAGAATAAGTTAACCTCCTCTTCTTTGAGTTAGTCCCTGAAATATTGGAATACTGCTATCCTGTCACCCTAGTCTTTTTTCTCTCTAGACTAGCTAAATCCAAATCCTGCAACCGTTCTTCATATATTTTACTCTCCAGGCCTAAGAGCTGAAATGTCAGAACAACAGTCATAGTGTTAGTCCAAAAATGGAATAAACAGTTGAACAAATAAATACATTTCATGAATAGCATAGCACAGTGATGGCGAACCTTTTAGAGACTGAGTGCCCAAACTGCAACCCAAACCCACTTATGCATTGTCGGGTGCTGGGTGAGTGTGGCCCATTGGTTGGGTGTGGCCCATTGGCTGGGTGTGGCCCATTGGGTGGGCGTGGCTGCAGTGGTAACGGCAGACTGGGTGGGACTAAAAAGTTCAATCAATCAATTCCAACTTTTCAAGATCTCTCCCCCCCCCCCCGTGAGAAGTTGAAATTGACTGATTGATTGAACCTTTTTTTTTTTTGCACATGGCAGCGAAGGCCTAAAGTGAAAAGGTTTTATAAAACCCAGCTGAAGGCCTAGGACTGGGGCGATGGCGCGCGTGCTCACAGAGAGGGCTCTGAGTGCCGCCTCTGGCACCCGTGCCATACGTTCGCCACCACTGGCATAGCAGATAGACTCATATATTTATGAAAGACAGAGTCCAGCAATATTAAAAAAAACATTTTATTATAAGCATAGTGTATTTCAAGTGACCTGTTCCAGAATGTAAATTGTGACAGAAATGATTCACTCTAAAATTAAAAATACTTAGGTTTCTTACATTTGGCAGGCTTTTGATAAAATGTGTTGTACACAAAACAACATTCAACTTTATTTTGCTCAAAAAATATTCTTAAGTATTCTTAAGCTCATTGTATTGTTCCAGTCCAATACAAGTTCTTTAAAATATTCAGTAACTTGGAAAGACAGACTGTGATAACAACACAAAAACCGCACCTTTAGTAATTTTGTAGAGGCAGTGCATGGATTAACAATGTTTGTTTTAAAATTTATTTTTAATTTTCACATTTTTTAACCACACATCTTCCTCAAAGAGGGTCTATAGGTGGTGTGCAACAAAGTATTAAAATATAAAAACAGAATATAAAAGTTAACAAATTTAGAAAGAGTCAAGGATGATAAAACACTGTTAAAATTAATTAAAAAGCTAAGGGAGGACTTTCAGGGCACTAGCCAGCCCTGTGTTCCTCTGGGTTCCCCACAGAGCAATGTTTTAACTCTTTTTCAAAAGGCCAGAATAGTGGTGACTTACCTCACCTTTGGGGGTGGGGAAGAATATTTCATAAAATGGGGGCAATAGCAGGGAAGGCTATCTTTCTGGACCGGCCAGTCAAAGTTCTTTAATTGATAACATATGTGCAACATATCTTCCCTGCCTTACTGGGTTGTACAAGAATACTTCAGTAGGTAGCCTGGCCCTAGACCATGTAGGGCTTTATAGGTCATAATTAATACCTTCAGTTGTATTGAAAGCAAACTGGCATCTAATGCAATTCATGGAGCAAAGGTATTGCATGTACCCTTCTTTGAGCATCCAAAACTGTTCATGCATTCTGTACTAGCTCAAGCTTCTGGATAGTTTTCAAAGATAGCTCCATGTACAATGCTATGCAATAATCTAGACAAGATATGACCAGGACATGAGTGACCAAGCAGAGAACCTTCCTATCCAGGAAAGGGCATATCTGTCACACAACACAAATTTGAGCAATGGTCTTCCTAGCCATGGTTGCTACCTGTTCTTAGGGTTGCCAGGTGTCCACTATTTGAGTGGACAGTCCACTTTTTTCACATTATGTTCACTATTTTTTTTTCACAAAATAGTGGACATTTTTTTATTCAAAAGCTTTATGATGAAATGGTATGTAATCTAAAGCTGTACAGTCTACTTTTTTTTACTACTTAACACCCCCCCCCTGCTTGTCCGCTATTTTTTGGAAGCAGACCTGGCAACCCTACCTGTTCTTTGAGCAGGAGTGTGAGTCCAGGAGGGTTAAGTACCATGTCTGTCAGTAGTGCAACACCATCCACCCAAAATGATAAGCTCCTGGATACAGAGGGACCCACCCATAGCCACTTTATCTTACTAGGGTTCAGCTGAAATCTGTCGTTCCCCATCCAGGTCCCCATAGCCTCTAGGCATCCATTAAATCACCTACTTTCCCCAGAACTGAAATTTATAACCGGGTATCATTAGCATATTAGTGATACTTCATCCCATGGTGATAGATGATCCCAGCCAGCAAATTCATGTAGAAGTTTAAAAGGAATAGAGAGAGAACCGAACCCTATGGCATCCCACAAAACAGAGGCCTTAAGTGGATCTCTCATTCCCTATCAACACCAAACAGCAGACGAAGGAGGTGAGCCAGCACAAAATTCTTCCACCCATCCCCCAACTCTTTAAATCAGCCCAAAAGGATTGCCAGGGTCAAAAATATGAAAGCTGTCAAGAACGACAAGATTGGATGCACCACATCCATCCTGTTCTTGCCAGATTGCTTGACCCTTTTCAGCTCCCTCATCCCTCCATAAATCATGGGGAGTTTTGTGCATAAGCACGATCCTGTCTAAGGCTTTGGCTGATTCCTTATTCCAGGAAGTCTCCAGCTCTTCTGCAAGACTATGTAGCAGATCAACAGCAATATTAGCAAAGCAACTCTTTATGTTATGTACTATATTGGTCAAAGTACACAAGTGTATCATAGTAACAAGTATTATTGTAACAACCAAAATTTTGGATTAAAATCTGTACAGTTGCTATTACCTTGATACCACTTGTGATACCCGCTCAAGCAATCCATAAATATCTCATCAGAAGTATTTTTACTGCACTCTGACTACCAAATATGCACTTGCTATTAGTATAACCACTAGATTTCTTTTTCATGATTACAACCTAATAATAGTTAACATTCAGTACTTGCACTATATTTTCAGCAGAAAACATTCAATATTTCATAAATGTTTAACTGCTAAGCCTTTGTTGGCACACTGTACCAACTACACACGATAGTCTCATATGGATGGGACTACTTACATGAATCTGGAATTCATGCAAAAGTGGACATTAGCAAATACAGCAGTGATAAAACTGCCATAAATAAGAATCAATGTGAAATTGTCACAATAATTCCTTAAATGTATTAGGATTAGCTCTTTAGCAATTCTGTCTTAAAAAGAAATGATGGGACAATCTATATTAAAACTAGCTGGGCCCTTAATTCCTAGTTTTAAGAAGCACTAATTCCTTAAACAGAGTATTTTTACAACCAGTTCTTCACAAAATATTTTACCATTGTCACTCTTTGCTGCTGCATGGATAATTATTTTTCTTGTTAATGTATTTCCTAAATTCTTAAAAATGTAGATATTATATGCTCCACCAACCTATTTATCATTACACCCTTATGAAAGACCTCCAATACATTTTTAAAGTTGCATTTTATTTGAAGGACAGAAGGAGGCTGTCAAAATAAGTATCAAATACAACCTAAATCCATATTATGAAATCATTCCAAATTGATGGTTGCATAAACAATTCCATTAACAAAAGTTGCTTCTTTTTACTGATAGCCTCATATCCTATTCAGTTAAAGAATGACCTAATCCCATCCATTTCAATTCTTTTGAAAATCCTTCATGGTTTTCCATTTCCTCAATATACGAAGTCATATAGCTACTTTTTTCTGATCAATACTTTCATAATAGATACCCATAACCTTCTTAATATTTTCAGATTATTTCCCATTCATATTCAAATCCAATATTTTGAAAAACAACTGAAAGATATTGTGCTCACATATAGCAATTTGTGAAAATTCAAGTAAAGTTAAGTATTTGGAATTCACCATTATATCATATCTCTTTTTAAGATTATGCTTTGTAACAAAGTAATGTTCAACTAGACTTTCTCACAGGCTGTAAATATGACATATAAGTAACTCTTATAAGAAAAAAAATATTATTTTGTGTTGATATTCACACAAAACATGCCATTTTTGAACATACCAAAACATAGATATCTGCAAACATTTGGAGTGTTAATCTAGACTTCAAGAAGACCAATATGTGTATTACTCTATCCCTGTGATTCTTCTAATAGTTTACATTGCACAAACATAGCATTTATACATTGTGTTGTGGAATCCATTCAATATATATTTTTTCACCCAAGTCTTCGTATTGAACAGTAGTGACTTCAAGTAATTTACTTCATTAATCCCTTCTGAAACTGATTTGATCCCATCTCAATGTGTCAGACAAATGTAATCTTCACACAACAATGTTCTGTGTTGACAAATTTGTTTTTTGCCTAGGAACACACCAATCATCTGCTTCTACTGAGGTCTGATAATGTTTACATGCAGATTTATTGAAAACAGGAAGTTTCTCTACAGATTCTGCAGAAAGTGCCTGAAAAGTTAAAAACACAAATTGAAATAGACACTTATTAGTATTTAGAGTATTTGAACTTATTTTTGCCACCATTTGCATACATATTTATAATGGATTGATTAAATCATGAGATATTATTCTGCTAGATTAAACATTCTTGTTTTCACATTTTGTAAGACTTTGTACAATTTTTCATTTCTATCTTCCAGACAGAATAGGTGATATATGTGGTATTAATTGATATAGCTGCTTTGAGAGGCCTGATTTATTTTATGTTAAAAAAAAGCCAAATTACTTTTAGGAGATAGAATTGAGTTTATAATAAATACCCAGACTTAATAAACATTTTTCAAATGCTTTTTTCAAATGCTTTTTCAAATCAAATCTTGAACACAGCCTAGCATAATTCTGTATCAAAATAGTTTATAATTCAACCAATAATATGATAAACAATAAATCATTTGCAACAAACTATTTAAACAGAATAAAAAGTATATTCTGCCAAGGATCATTCCTGTCTCTTAGCAAGATGGGCAACAAACAAATTTAATAAATAAATAAATAAAATTGTACAAATTATAAATAAAGGCTTTTTACTATTTTTTAAGGGACAATGAATAAATTACTAGTAGGACAAATAAAAAAGCATATGAAAACACACTACCACACTTGAAAAGAGAAATAAAAATACAGAACACACCTTTAAGTGGATAACAGCGTCTGTTCCATACCCCGAAATAGAGTACAGATTGAGATCTCCGTGAAAGTATTTAGCATAAAGTCGAGAAATTGGTAATCCATAACCAAATCCAGCCTAAAAAGAAATAAAGTATTTTTCATTAATTGAAATGAGGGATTTTTACCCCTCTTATTTTAAATTGTATTCAATTCATGTAGCTTAGTGGTTAAGGGTCTCAATGAAAATCTTATCTCCCATACAAGTACAACAAAGGCAATTTTAATTTTAAACACTTGCTAAATAAGCATTCTATGGGATAATAAAACAATGTTGAGAAGAAAGTGCAAAAGGAATGTTTCTAGTTTTGCGTTTTAATGGCTATGTTGAAATAGATTTAATTTCTTCCGCACATATCACATTTGGCCTATCTTTTAAAATGGGATATTAAAGATGAGTGCTTTTGGGTCAGAATAATCCCTCCCTATAGAAGTATCAAGATTTCATGGAAATGATTAGGCTAGAACTTATGATATGGCATTCAATCATGGAAGACCCCTAGTTTCATGAATATGCAGCTTATCACAGTTTAATTCTCAATGAGAAGGTTCTTTTGGAATTCCTAGTAATCACTGCAAGGAATAATGCAGTCCTTTCCAGCTGAAAGCATCCCCTATGTCTCACTTGTCCCTATGTCTATAAAATAATGCCAAGAGCATCAATAGCTAATTGACTTTATGCATCATAGCCTTATGGTTTCATCTCTTACCATAGCAGTATTTTTGCTATCCATCACAGGCTTTGGTGCTGTAGAATAAGTATAGCTGAAGAGTTTTTCGATTATCCTCACTGGAACTCCACCACCTCTGTCAGAAACCTAGTTAAAGAGAAAAAAATACCCATGTAAGTAACAAATTACTTGTAGTTGAAATAGTCATCTTTTCTAATGATTCTTTTTGTATCAGACTTGCTAATTTAAAAAAAGAAACTTTGCCAAAATAGCATTCGACTGGAGATTGTTCGCCTAGTTCTAATTGGTTGCAATTTATAACCCATCTATTTATTCCATGATAAGCCTACTTAAATCAAAAGGCCTTTCCAACAGTAAACAAGGATAGATGGTTCTTCATCTTTCACTCTGGACAGGGTGGTCCTTCATCAGACTGAGTGGTGTGCAATTTGGGGATCTTGGAGTCACATCTCCTGCTCAAGGAGCAGGTGGCAGCTGCGGCTAGGAGAGGTCTTTACAGATATTTGTTTGTGCATCTGGTGCATCCTTTCCTGATCACTCAGGCACTGGTCACTTCCCATCTGGATTACCACAATGCACTCTTTTGAGGGCTGCACTTGAACACGACCCAGAAACTTCAACTGGTCCAGAATACATGGTGTGCACAATAATGGGGGCCTGTAGTTTTGCTGATAACACCTCTGTTGCTCTGACTAACAGTTTCTTTTCAGCTGCAATTCAAGATGTTGGTCATCACATTTTAATACTCTATATGGCACAGGGCCAGGCTATCTGCAGGACTATCTTTCTCTTAGGACATCTACCCTTCCTATCAGATCAGATAGAATGGGCATGCTGCTAGTCCCTTCACCTAAAAATTATCTGATGGTACCAAGGAAGTCTGTCTTTTCTGTGGTGGCCCAGACATGGATCATGCTGCCTTGTGAAGTTCAGTAGGCTGTCACCTTTTAGCCTTTGTAAGGTTTTCTAAATAAGGATTTTCCCCAAAAAACCTTGGGAGAAGATTATATGCACATTAGAACTGACTGGTGCCAGGCTCTTTGTTTTAATTAGTTGAGTTTTAGAGTTGTGATTATATATTTTATATATTGGATTTTTGATTTGGAGACACCCAGAATTAGTTGAAAGATGGGTAGCTATATAAATATTTTAAATAATAAAATAAAATAAGTTATTTACTGCATTTATTTAACTCTCATATCAAATGTAGTAAGTACCTTAATATTAGATAGCTTATTGATTGATTAAACTTATGACTATATCAAATATAAAATAAAAAACAGGATATACAGTAAGTCCAGAGTAAAACAGATACAAGGAAAATATCTTAATAAAATACAAAAGTGCTAAATATAAAGAATCAACATTCAGGTAAATACATCACCTTTACACTATATTTCAATCTGATCAATATAAGGAGTCCTTTGGTCAACTGACTTAGCTATAAATTTAGCAGTTCTGTTCACAAAGTATAGATTAGAACCCAGGAAAAAATAGGAGAATCTGCAATTCAAATCCCAGGGGGCTGTTATTTCAAAAAGGGAAAGTACCTTAATAGTTAGGTCTTCTTTTCCAAGTACAACAGTCACCTCAATTGGATCAAGGGAAGGTTTTTTTTCCTGATGTTCAACTGTTGCTCTCATGGCATTCTATACAGAAATTAAGAAGAATTTAATTTAGCTTGTAAAGGTTTTAAAATATTAAAATTTGCCTATCTCATTAAGAGGAATTTGCTTTTGACAATAAGGAAAATGAACAGTATATATAGTTGACTAATGGAGTAATAGCTCTTTTGTTATATGCACAGGAAAACTTATAACAAAGATTCAAAGATAGTGAGTTGCCTTGCAGCAAAATGGGTGGCAAACGATTTAATAATAAATAAATATTCCTGTACTCTCTCCCTTGTCAGGACCCTATTTTAAATGCACAGCTTTAGTCATCAGTCTCTGTTTTAATTATTATTGGAATAATGATGTTGGGAAGGATACCATTCTGTAGTACTTTGGTTGTAACATCCCACACTTTTAGTATGCTTTTGACAGATACTGAAAATAATATTTCAGCTAAATATGGAATAAATATGTCCTAATGCAAGCTTAAAATACAAACTTTAAAACCAATTACAAACCTTGAACAGTTCAAACAGCATATGAAAGAGATGAGAAGGTACATATACCATGTAAATAGGCTCTCCAGGTGCTTTTGCTAAAAAAAATAAATACAGCAGACATACATAAACTTTTATTTTATTACTGGGATTTTATTCCAAACAATTATTATGGATGAAAAGAAAGTTTTCAATGAAATCTGTGCATCCCACACTGAATTCTGAGATTGATCATCTTTTATTTTCTAGCACTTTAAGTCTGACTAGTTTTGCAAATCTTTATACATTTTCATATTACATCTTTCCCTATAATCTGCCAGCATAGATTTGGGGGACTTATCTGGCCTATCTTTTATGATAAAAATTTCTTGGATTATTGCAAGTGTATAGTGAGTAGTGAATTTATTCTTTTTTTTTTAATACACCCTGAAATCAACTATTGCACAATTGCATATCAAGGTCCTTTTGTATTTGGCACAGTGCTGCATAAGTGAATGAATGCAGCTGTGCACATGTAAGCATTATCTGTAGGGAAAATGTGATTAGTTAGCAATTCTAGGACATATTTACTGAAGATAAGAAAAACAGCAGTAAGGATTATGGAAAGTGAAAAGCTTTCAGAAACAGACTATTACAGTCAGGAAAAAAATCTTACCATTTATTTGAGTAAGCTTTAACTCTGGAGAAGCAAAATAGTGTTGATCACAAAGCATCTGAGAACTCTGAAAAGCATCTAAAATGTATTTTAAAAAACAAGATTAAACAAATTTTATGTCATAGTAGTATTTTCTAAACACCAGCCAAACCAGTATTGTACAATATTATTCACGTAATGAATTTATTGTGTAGATTTTCTATTATTTACAAAAATTGATTTATTATGGCCAGCAAATCCACTATGGGCCTAAAACACTATTGAAATAGATTTAAGATTTCTCTATAATGATATATTTCTTTTATTAAATGTTACATTTGTAACTGCCTTTCTGCTTATATAAGCACTCAAGGTGGCTTACAAAAATAAAATGCAACATAAAGAACACAATAAGGAATGTAGTACAATTAAATGAACAGTATTATTAAATTTAACAACTAAAACATTTCTTAACTACTAGAGATATGGGACTACATTAATCTTATTAGGAGAGCATTCCATATCCTGAATGCCATGGAGAAAAAGACCTTCTCCCATATACCAGAATATTGAATTTCTGACAGCGGCAGCATCTTCAAAATAAAGCCATTCCTAGTGATTTAAGTACTAAGTCAGGTTGACTGCAGGAGAAGCAGCTTTTCAGATTCTCAGGCCTTATGCCATTTAGGACTTCAAAGGACCACATTAACAACATAACATTGCTTCTGGCAGGCAGTGGGTAACACCTGTGTCAATAAAGGTTATCACACATTACTTTGCAGTGGTCTGCAACTAATAGACTCCTTGACACCCAACTACAGTTTTGAGATACTTTTCAAGAGTACTGTAGGCCCACTGCATTGATCAAGATGGTTTATAACTAAGACATGGCTGTTACCAAATCTGATGAATTCAAGGAATATTATAATTAGCACATTAACAACATTTGTGAATATATGCTTAATGAAGCCACCATTTGCAAATACAATCTGAAGAATAATTGCTAACCTGCAAACTTTTTCTTTCTGGGGTTCTAAAACTGCATTCAAAACAGGCTTCATCTCAATCTCCAAGTTTCGTATTTTTGTTATACCTAGAGCATCTCTGCTTTTTTGGGTTTAATTTAAGCTTGTTCTCCCTTATCCAGCCCATTACTGAAATGGGCAACATTCAGAGGAATCAAATGCTTCCTTGGAATCATACAGCTGAGTAGAGCATAGCTATTTATTAATAGGGTAATGATGGCAGCCATCTCCAAAGCTCTGAATAACTAACCTGGTGTTTTCATGTAGATATTATACACATTTATTCAAAAAATAAAATATCAGAGAACTGAACAGGACTTACAACCATGTAAATGTATGTAAGATTTCAACATAATACTCTTATATCTGATCTTTTTATATCTTCTTGTATCACAGAAATCAACTGTTCTAAGATTGTAGCCTAAATTTGCAACAACCAGATTTTGGCTAAATAATAAACAGAATTTTATGAATGAAAACAACTGTCTTACTAGGACCAACTACCTTAATTTATGTTGTGTTCATTCAACTAACTGAGCAATTTAGCAACACTACTGTTTAAATTAATCAACTATTGGTAGTTTTTTCACTGAGAAGTCTAAATCTTACATCTTCTCAAATTTGTTGTACACCCTAGGAAAAAAACATTCCCTGCATTCACATTTAATTCTAAGCCATGATTTCTTTGAGCAAGCCATTAAAACGTGATATATTCTGGTTCCTAAGCTAAGCCAAAAACCAACAAACCACATTAATAGTTTACTGCAATGTATGACTGCTGTTTACACATCTAACTATATGACAACTATAAGTAAAACTTTCATTTTTATACATACCATACACCAGATCCACAACATCACAGCAAGGATCAATGCATCCAATATGCCGTGGGTTACACACATTACTGCTATCAAATATAAATGCTGTTGAAATAAAGATATGAAATTGAAGAACCATTTTCCCCAAAAACATTCTCAATAGCCTATAAAAGTTGGTTTGTCAAAAGAATAAAAGTGTAACTTACTGTGCTGGTTTATTAACATTCGAATAGATATCCGGTTCATGTAAAATCGATCCAAGAAGTACTGAATATTGTGATTGATGCATGAATCCATTTTAGAGGAATCTCTGTATTCTAATACCCCTTGTGCCATCATGGGCATTACACTGTGATGTCTGTTTCGGATCTTAGTAATGGCATCTATGAAACTGGGAGAAACACAGAACTTCATATTTATCTATATAAGAAATTCTGAAAACCAAAATTGTAGTAAACAAATATTCTTACAAAACATAAAAGAGAAAAATGTAAATGCATTAGTTCCTCATATATCAAATCAAGACAACCGATTGTTATGAATAGTACTTTGAAACTTCATAATTTATTGTTGATATACTTTGTTTCAAAGTGTCACTTTTTGCTATATTAGTTATGCTCCTGCATCATTATTTCATTGTAATATAATTAGTTATCTAAGCTCTGGGTTTCAAATTAGCTGAATCATCCAAGATTAACCAATCATTACTTAAAATAGAATAAGCTGCTGAAAAAAAGATAACAGAAAGAAACATACTCTGAAAGAGCTTTGTGGTCATCCGATTTTTTATCTTGAAATTCCACTAGTTCCAGTAGGCTTTGAATATACCTGTAAAGAGCACAAGTAATGTAAATATGAGACTATCCATACAGACCAAAGACATAATTTAATGTAGTGGTTAAGGGATTGGACTAGAAACAGGGAGTCCATGCATTCTAGTCCCACCTCAGACACAAAACCAGCTGGGTGACCTTAGCCAATCACTATCTCACACTCTTAGGAAGGAGACAGTTATAATAATGATAAAGTTGGAAGGGACCTCGGAGGTCATCTAGTCCAACCTCCTGCTCAGGCAGGAAACCCTATGCCATTTTGGACAAATGGCTGTCCAGTCTCTTCTTAAAAACCTCCAGTGTTGGAGCATTCATCGCTTCTGGAGGCAGGTTGTTCCACTGGTTAATTGTTCTAACTGTCAGGAGGTTTCTCCTTAGTTCTAGGTTGCTTCTCTCTTTGATTAGTTTCCACCCGTTGCTTCTTGTCCTGCCTTCAGGCGCTTTGGAGAATAGCTTGACTCCCTCTTCTTTGTGGCAGCCCCTGAGATATTGGAACACTGCTATCATGCCCCCCCTCGTCCTTCTCTTCGTTAAACTAGACATACCCAATTCCAGCAACCGTTCCTTATATGTTTTAGCCTCCAGTCCCCTAATCATCTTTGTTGCATCGTGGTGACCAAAACTGGATGCAGTATTCCAAGTGTGGCCTTACCAAGGCATTGTAAAGTGGTATTAATACTTCACGTGATCTTGATTCTATCCCTCTGTTAATGCAGCCTAACACTGTGTTGGCTTTTTTGGCAGCTGCAGCACACTGCTGGCTCATATTTAAATGATTGTCCACTAGAACTCCGAGGTCCCTCTCGCAGTTACTACTATTGAGCAAGGTACCCCCTTATACTATACCTGTACATTTGGTTTTTCTTGCCTAAATGTAGAACCTTACTTTTTTCACCATTGAATTTCATTTTGTTAGATAGTGCCCAATGTTCAAGTCTGTCCAGATCCTCCTGTATCTTAAGCCTGTCTTCTGGAATGTTGGCTATTCCTGCCAGCTTGGTGTTGTCTGCAAATTTGATGAGTTCCCCATCTATCCCCTCGTCCAGATCGTTGATGAAGATGTTGAAGAGCACTGGGCCCAGAACAGAGCCCTGGGGCACCCCACTACACACTTCCCTCCATGTAGATGCGGTTCCATTGAGGACCACACGCTGAGTACGGCCGGTCAGCCAGCTACGGATCCATCTGCTGTCTAACCCGCATTTTTCTATCTTATCAAGTAGTAGGTTGTGATCTACTTTGTCAAATGCCTTACTGAAGTCCAAGTAAATTATATCCATAGCATTCCTCTAGTGAAAAACTTTGCCAAGAAAACTTTAGGGACTTGTTCAGGCAATCACAAGGGGTCAAAACTGATCTGACGAAACATACACACACACACAAAGTCCTTAGAAAACCTCTTGACACATATAGGGCTAAGCAGTGTTAACTGTAATTTCAAAAACTATGCAAGTTAGGAACAAATAGAAGGATCTTCATTATGTATAAATATAGAAAAATAACATCAAATTCCTTGGTTTAAATCAACATTTGGAGTATTTAAATCAACAAAGTAAGTACTTTAAATACTTTCCCCCATAAAATTTAGCATCTTATAAATATCTATTCTCTTTTCATTACCCATTGACAAAGTTTTCATGAATATTTTGTAGCATTTGATATGCAATCTTATTCAAGTCAGCATTTTAGAATTGCCAGCAAGTCTGTAATGAAGATACAGCAGCTGCAACAAAAACTATGTTTATTTATTGTAATATGACCAGTGCCATAAGCTAACAAAATACACACACATGTACGTAGGAGTCATTAGTGTCTTTCTACTTTTCAGCAGAGATTACAAAATGAGTGCAGAATACATACATCAGGCTTCCAGGACTTGCTATTACATATTCATACAGGCCTTTTCATATTCAAGGCTGTGTTCATCTAAGATCAATGTCACACCCCATATTTCCAATACTATGTGTGTCTTGAAGAAAGTTTGCAAGTTGAACAAATCTATTTCTGGCTAAGCTACCCTCCATAAAAAATAGGAAAAAATGCAACATTTTCTTTGAAGCAACAGGACAGGTGGGTTTCCTATGAAGTAACATTCCTGTCACATCCCACATTTTCAGAGCTCCCTGCTGAAATCAAGGTTGAGCTGCTGGACCTTATTATCTCCTCCTCATCCCCAGTTAATCTGAAAGTGATTTTTCTCCTGTCCTTCATATCCCTGTGAGCAGTTTTTTCTTCCTTGGTTTGAAAATGAGTGCTGTAAGAAAAGGCTGAGGGTGGGAGGCAGGGATACTATTGATAGTATTACCTCTCACTGTGCTATTGGCTAGCTGAAAGAAGCAGAGTTTAGTCAGAGGGTTTACTAAAGAGAAAGATGAAATTGTGAGATTTTGGAAAGTAAAAATAGTGCCTACATGGACACAGTCTTACTCTTATTCAGTAGTAGACCATCAGTAGTCAATGAATATATTGTCAACATGAGATCTATCTCCTGATGTCAATATATATAATTTTTTCTTGCACTTGATTACAAAAGTAGTGTAAGAGGAATAAAATGTAATAATTGAAATCTATTGCAAAATTTGTTACTTACCAATCCTTTACTAACTGTACTGAACTTGTATCCAATAATAGACTAGGAAGGAGATCAATTTCTTTCAAAATATTTGCTAGCCGAACTGGAAGTTCATGCCGAAGGAATGAGAATGAGGTTTTCTCACATGCATTTGTTGAACCTACAAAAAAGGGAGATATATTTTCAGCGCAATGTGTTAAAACAGTTTCAATAAACTTCCTGCAATATTAATATTATATACAAGATTTACATGTTTTCTGTTTGCTGCCACTTGGAATTTTATGTAGTCCAGTTGTAGCAATGTCTGTATTACAGATGCATTTGCGTGGAATGCGATTGCCATATGGGTTATCCAAACCCAAATAAACTGTAAATTATAGTATTGTATCAACATCTCTTGGAAAAATGTAAAACAAAAAATATATACTATATATGTGCTGCATCTGAATTGTGTTAATAAACTCTTATATTTAAATGGCTTTATAAGGGGGGTTTTAAATTTAACAGTTACATTCAACATTAGGAATATGTAATTTTAAAATATCTCTAGTATTTCAATATTGCTTTAGAAAGCAGCTACATCTAAATGAAAGTCAAATATTCTTAACTAATGAAATAAGTTTGCTTAAAACATAAAAAACAAACTATAACTGTACACATCCTGATTTAACAATCATACTTAACTTTTATTATAACAATCTGCCATTTCAAAGGTCAATGGTTCAATACAGTATCAGCAATAAAGAAAATTTGACAAAGACTGTCCTTGCATATTACAAGAAGCAATATTATACCAAATAAGATGGCCTTTGTTTTTTTTAAAAAAGTCAGTTAAACTGGCAAAACAGACAAAAAAATTTTTATATACATTCATAATGTAAGTAAATCATTTAGATTGAAGAATTAAGGAAGGCACTAAAGCCATTGAGACGATTATAAAGATTCCTACAAATATTTGTCTAAAATCCACAATAAAATACCTCATTTCTTTGCCTACCTTTAAAAATTTTGTAAGACATAATTTAACTGAATGAGGAGTATACTTTGTGTATGAGTGTACTTTTAGTATATTCATAGTAATGTACATTCATAGTAGTACTAACACTATTGGCTACTAGCAACAGTATTGACTACTAGCAACACTACTGGCTACTAGTAATGCTAATAGTAACCAAAACAAAAATACCAAATGTATTACATTATTTATATACGAATGTAATAAGCATTATACTGTATAGAAAAATATATTGCTATCTTGTTTAAAACTTCAGTTCATTGTCCAACCATCATAAGATTTAGGAACTATCACAAATCAAGATACATTCCTACATTGAGGTAAAGCAAAACTTTCGCACAACAAAGTTGTAAAAAGTTGCACAAATATGCTCAAGAAACTCTCTTCAAAAATGATAGAAAAATAATAGTCATGAAAATAGCCTGGAGTATAAGGGAACAAGAAAGATGAAGAAACAAAGTAGCACTTAATGGACTTCAAAGATGACCATTACAATGTTACTTAAAAACAGTTTCCATTCTAATCAGTTAACCTTGTTAGTTGCACATTAAATTGCAGTATATAAGATTGTGGCCAAACCCCTATGATTTAGAGCCTATGTCATCAGATATTTGAATTGCATCACATCAGATTAATGCCACCTGGAAAGGCAGACTAATTCATAGAAACAGATCCCACAATGAATGCCTCATCTCAAAGATGAGGTTAGAGGGAGAGCTTTAACTAAAACAAACTTTAAATCGGTGTGACACATCCAAAGACTGAGGCAATGCTATAACCCTTATAACAACCCACCGTCCCATCTTTTTAAAACTTTTCTCACATCCCTCATGCTCTCCTATTGGCTTCTCCAATTTCAGAAGCTCTCCACTGGGGAGAAACCCAAACTTCGCACTGCTTAGAGAAATAGTGATGGTCCCGTTTCTCAAGCAAGGACCTACAACCTCAAAGACACCCCCACTTCGAAGCATTTCCTGTGGGAGAGCACTGATATCTGCCCTGCCATTCAGTCCCTGACAGATGTTTTGGGCAATATGTCCCCAAATTCCCAGCCATGAAACCGGGAGCCTCCCAAGGGTGACCGAGAAATCCACCAGAGCTCTCCCTTCCTAAGCCCCCATTCACGCCCCTCACCGAAATCCAGGAACTGTTTGATAGAAAGCGGCGACGGAGAGAAACGCGATAAGCGTTCCACCTCTTTGGTTGTTTCGGCTCCGGCCCCGCCACCATTACCAGCAGCAGCCGCCAAAGGAGCCGCGTTTCGCAGGACAATCCGCGCAGCCTTCATCGCAGCTGTGAACAAGACTAAAGGTGGCGCTAACAAGACTCTTCACTTTAAATCCCCTAATGACCTGCACGTGCAACACCTATTGACCAATGCAGCACCTCCCTCTGGGGGCTGGGTTTTCAAATTAAACCACGCCCCGGAGGGCGGCTAACTGTCAGAAATGGGGAAAAAAGTCGAGGCTAAGCCACGCCCCCTTGTGGTTAACTGTCAGAAAAGGACAAAAGCGAACATCGAACTCCATCACCTTGGAGGGTGAACCTTACACTTCGGATAATCCAAACGCCTCAGAAGAAGGGAAGAGGAGGTGTATGTTAGGAGGTGTGTCTCTGCCCCGTCCAATAAGGCCGCGCTGTCCTCCAAGCCTTTCTCCCACGTTTCGGATACAACAGGCGACAAACGGCATCTTTCATAAGAAATTCCCGCACCCCCTTTACGCCGCTCAAAATAGCCCTTTGCCCTCGGGCCCCCTCTCTTCCTTCAATCCGCCTTGACAACTCCCCAACCCGATGATAGCGCGGGCTGGGGGGGGGGGAGAATGGAGTGTGGCGTTTTGTCGGCTTCTCATTGGTTTCTCTAATTAAAATTCTCTTCTGCGTGGAACCAATCAGATAGCCGTATCGGTCGTGGAATCTTGACTTCTGGCGCGACCCGGCTACTGAAAGAACTTGGCCCGGTTCCTGAAGGGAGGGGAGGGGGTGGGTTGAGGGTTGTACAGCTTTTTCCAAGAACAGCGAGAACACCCTGAGGCGGGGAAGCGGTAGGCAGTCACGCCAGGCCTGCCTGTGGCAAGGAGCCAGGCGCTGGAGGACGCGTTATTGAATAGCAAGAAGTTCACTGCCTTCCAAAAAATATATTCTTCAAGGGTCTTCTTCTGCAACACTTTCTTTCCCTTTGAAATATACTCCACAGAGAGCTAAGGATAAGTAACGTCAGTCAAGGCAAGAATAAATAAATACGAGGTGATCCCAAGTTCTATTTATTTTCCAGCCATTCTGTACTTTCCAAATAACCTCTTCGTTTCCATAATATTTAGTTTTGAGGTTCCTTTGGGTCCTTTCCCCTCCCTGAACTGACTCTTGAAAAGCTTCAAAACAGTTCATAAGGCAATTCAAAACTCCTGTGAGACTTTTAAAAGGATGTTAGATTGGCAATTATTTGCCGTTATGGGTTGGGAGAAAAGACAAAAATTTTGAATAGAGTAACAAGACTGTCTCAAACCCAATTTCTCAATCTCATGAATTTAAGGTGGGTGGCATTTGACTCCTAGAATTCCCCATACTAACTGTGGATTTCTGGGTATCAAAATCCACCAATCTTAAAATTTATTTTAAGAAATAAATTGGCATCAGCAATTTTTTTTATCGGCAGAGAAAGTTATTCTTTGGGCATGAACTGATATTAATCATCATCATCTTGGCATTTTTCTCACAGGTGCAGGGTCCGCTTTTAGGATCAAGAGGAGCCACTTTGTGTGATCAAATGCAGCATTTGAATCTAATTGGGCATTTTTCATGTCTGCATTTATTCATGAATTCATTAATGCAAATGGATATCAGTTTAGATGGATTGTTTTTTTAAGAAATGTACTTTCATGGAATGATCAACTAAATGACCTTTCTCATAATGATCAACTAAAATTAATGGCTGGAAAAATATAAATCAGCAAGTTCTGAATTTTTTGAACTTACAGTTTGGTCATATCTAGTTTGGCCTGCTTAGAACATTCCAAGTGAAAATTTATATATAATTGTTTCCAAGCCATGTTGCCATCAATAAGAAGCAATTCTTGTAATTGACCTTTAGCATAAACAATTAGAGAAGAAAGTTCACAGCCCAACTTTCTGGTACAGATAAGACTAGATAGATACAATGCACAGTTAGAAAAGCTATGTCAGCTTATTGATTTAGGACACATTTTATCTGAAAGTGAAGTTTAGTCGGGGAAAGTTCACAGTGCTGGGAACAAAGATTTTGGCCTGTGAAATTGCCAGGGCTGTAATGCCTCTACAGCTAAAGTTTAGTAGGCAAAAGGTCAACATTTGCAGAAGAAACAGCATCCTATTTCACAGAAGAGTCAGCTGTTTGGATTTCCTTCTAAATTAATCCTTATAGACAAGATAGAAGAGGGTTGAGCAACTACAAATTCACATTGAATTGTACTCACAATATTTTTGTAAACTAATGATGTCTTTTTGCAGTTTTGTTTGACTCATAAAATAATTGGTTTCACTTATTGGACTCCTTTAAATATTTTTCTAGAACATTTCTTCATTTGGAGTTTTTATCAAAACTCCAAAGATCCTGAAATATTTTTTCCAGAAGATTTTCTCTATTTATGCACCTGAACATTTGCTGTACATTTTAATTTTAAAATAAAATCTGAACTCTATCCCTTCCAACTTGGATTATTATGCATATGTATTTAGATATAATCACATCTATATTACTTAATTCTTGACAGGAGCATTTGGGATTATAGTTCTATATGTTAAATGTGTTTCTTTTTTGCATGATTCAAGGCTTTCTCAAATGGGAACTAATTACATGGAGTTTTTATAAAGACATAAAGTACAAATAATCGATTTACAACAGTTCATTTAGTGACTGTTTGGAGTTTCAAGGTACTAAAAAAAGTGATTAATGACTGTTTTTCACACTTATGACCATTGCAGCATCCCCATGGTTATGTGATCAGAATTTGGGTGCTTGCAACTGGTTCATATTTATGACAGTTGCAGGGTCACATGATCACCTTTTGCAACCTTCTGACAAGCAAAGTCAGTGGGGAAGCCAAATTTACTGTGTTACTAACTTAACAATTGCAGTGATACCTGTGGCAAGAAAAGTTGTAAAATTAGGCCAAAACTTACTTAACAAATATCTTGCTTAGCAACAGAAACTTTGGGCTCAATTGTGATAATAAACAAGGAGTATCTGTACATATTGCTCTGTAATAGTTTTAAACACTCTAACCCATGTTATTTGCAATTATTTAATACGGATATAAATTTAAATTCAATAGCTTGTGTATGCATTTTTTTAATGTTCTTGCTAGTTGGCATCTCCATTACTGTATCCTTTTAGTCAATAACTAAAAGATCTGTTTGCATGCATTTTAGTCATGTGTACAATTAATTCATTCAAGTTCCTGCAACCAACACATCTCTCATGCAAAGTCATCACAAACTCATGCTGTGCCTATCCATTTCCCCCCCCCCCCAAAATATAGGGAATATTTTGAAAATATCCATATCTAATGGGTGCAGCTTATCTGTTGAATTTGCTAGTCTGAAAAGATTCAGAGTTCTATAAGGGGCTTTGGTAGCACTTTTACAGGAGCATCACAAATTTGGTTTATCCCATTAGTATTTTACTGAAGAGCCAATATATTTTCTTTTCAGTGTCTTATTGGAGCCCTTAGGGTTTGGGAATGGGTTGCTGTAATGAGAAGAAGGGTAACAGGAGGAAGACCTGTAAGCAAGGCAGTGGTGAGATAAAAGAAATTCTGGTCAGAACTGTAACTTGACTAAGCATCTTAGACAAGACCCTCCTTAGTTATCACAACAATAAAGGGAGGGACAATGGAAGCACATTCAAATTGCAAGATTCTGTTACTATAACCTTATAATACAATGAGTATTAGCATGCATGACTTTGGTCTCCTAGTCTATTCTACTTAGAAGGGCTGGCAGTTTTGCATTAGCAGGACCAATTTGTTAGATATGGTATTCTCCAAGTGTGGTTGTTTTCTTGGTTTTCTTGATTGTACACCAATATCTGCCTCCCATCTTACAAGCAGTTTCAGAGCCCTAGTTCTTTCACACAGGTTTTTAGAATATCTAGTTAATAAGTAACTAATGTTTTGGGACAATGACCTACAGCATAGAAATTGATATATTCCTGCTCTCTAGAAAGAAGGAAGAGTAGTAATAGTAGCAGTAGCAGCTGTAGCAGCAGTGCTAAGTAGTACTAAGTACTAATAACAGAGTATTCCTAATAGTTTATTCCACTTCAGTAGAACTGGACCAGATAACTTCAGTCTTTTGCACTTCATGTTTTAGTGTATGAGAACCATAATGTAGAGTGGCGGCCCACAGGCCAGATGTGTCACATGCAGGCCACGCCCACCTCAGCTCCGCAAAGCAAAAAACATCACGATACCTCACGATACATCGCATGACATGATCAAGTTTGACACCCGTGATGTAGAGGTAATTCAGAATATTATCAAAAATTTAGATAAAAAGTACAAATTAAAATTTACTTTCATAGAGTAACATAAAGTGGTATGATAAAACCTACAAAACATCAAAACATAATTGCATATTACCTATGTCTGTGGACTGTTAACATATTACCTATGTCTGTGGACTATGAACATATTACCTATGTCTGTGGACCTATCTTAAAGCACTTTAAAAAAACATCCTTCCTTTCCTATGCTTTTTAATGAATTTTAAAAATGGCAAAAATAGAGAAAACGAAGTTGCTCCTGGTTGCAGTATTAAAGCTTCTTAAGCTGATATATAAAGTGGTGCTGTATCTTGAAAGCTAGATATTTTACTCAACATCAGAAAGGAATTGTTACTCCATGCCTTTATCTAAATTGCCTTATAGTTACTCTGCCATATTTGTATATGGTCCAGTGATTTAATATTATTTGTTCTTTATGTTTTAGGTCATTTGCAAATACATTTTATCCTATGAAATTGTCAGTGTCTTTTTAATTATATTGGTATTTATTTCTTTTTTAAAAAATTGAATGACCACACATTTATTCTCAGTGACTCTGAGTGGCTTACAAAAATGAAAACCCAATATAGTGTGGAAAAATTACAGAAAGCTCATTGAAATGACTGGAAGAATAAGCCTCTTGTCCATAGAGTAATTCATGAATGGAAACAAATCCAGCCTTAAAGTCAAGAAAGGCTACACAGAGGGAGATTTTAATTGTGCTAGTGCTTATGAATGAAGTGGTGCAGCACAAAAATGTGGTCTAA